TTTTCTAGGAGCAATTCGTTTGTAGAAACCATCATGCAGGTCCTGAAAAAAGGCTGTTGGGTGAATATCCTTACCAAAGTCCTTCTTATCATCAACTTTGATACGTGTTGAGGAGATCTGGGGGTTGACATTGTCCTTTTATACGATCCTTACGCTTTCCTGGCCTCTCAAAGCCATGGATTAGCCAGTGTGCCCTGCATTTTGCAACTGCGTGGGTCCTTTAAAATGTAGCAAAGGACTCCGAATGGGAAAAATGGCTTCTGGGCATTATTTCCCCAATGTTGACTTTCGATTTGCATTGATCCTGCTTATTAAATTTTAATTTTTGGATACATGCGGTTGATTTTATTTTTACCTTGTAAAGTCAAACAACTTTTCTTTATTTTAAGGCACTAAAACAATTTTAGCTATAAAATTAATCATTATACCATTAAGATTATAGAGGCAAATGTGATAATTTAAAAAAAAAGTGGCCAAATCGATAAAGTTTTAACAAAATAGTTAATTAAAACCCAAGTGTGCCAATAATTTTGTTCAGGCAAATTTGGTCCATTCTTTGGTTTTTTATTTTTAATAAATTATTTATAAAAGATAAATTAATGAAGTCACTTGTATTTAACATAAAATTAATGATTCTATCTAAAAATATTTTGTTTTATTTTAATATCAGCATATTATAAGAAAAATAGCCTCAAAGTTTAACATGCTTGCTGTGCCAATAATTAAGTTTGTCACTGTATATTGGTCGTTGCCTCAACAGTGCGCACGTCTTGTGGATTCAATGCCAAAGCGTTGCTCCTCTGTTCTTAAGCAGAAAGGTTATCCCACTCAGTATTAAAATAAATTTATTAAAAGTATAAGGAATATTGGGCAAATTTTAACTTTTTCAACCATTTTTTCCGGGTGGCTTAAGTATGTGAGCAGGACATTTTGGAGATGGTCTCATATTTTTAAAGTTTTTCGTTGAATATATATTTTTATAACTTGGTTGTTCTTCTATTAGAACACTGATATATAGAACTAATGTGACACAAAAAATTGGAGCTGTGAAATAAAAACTTTTCTTCATTTTCGTTTAAATTCTTGATTGAAGTCTTGTGGCTTAAGTCTATGAGCACCACTGTACATGCTTCGTATAAAGAATAACAGAAAGGATAGAGAAAGAAACCCCCCAAGAAAAAATTTGAAATGTACAAAATCTGTTTTAGGAAACAGAAGACAACATATAGAGAGCCTAGTCGATGGGAAAAAAGTTTGTATTTTGTTGAGCCGAACTAATGTCCCGTCAGTTGACTAAGGACAACGCCAAGTTGAATTAAAAACCGAAGAATTAGTTTCACGTCTTTATTCGATAGATCTCAGCTTAAGACTAAATTCTTGTGACAAAAATATTACTTGTGCTGGCGAGTTGGCGAGCGAGATCGCCGGCTTGGGATATTGATTGTACATAATAATTTGAGAATAAGAGTGCCACTCAGAGAGCGGGACTTAGTCATTGAAAGAATTGTTTATGTTATTGGGATGCAGCATCGCCTGCTCCGGATGTGGTTGTTTACATTGGTTCAGCGTGGGATCGCCTATGAATATGTCACTATATAGATATGTAGATATCTAAACTTTAAAGAATGCTAGAGCTTTAGAAAAAAAAGTTTTTTTGTAAGCATTTTGTTCGTGAACGCTTGCAGCTTTAATCATCTCTAATATATAGGCGCATAAAGCCATCTCTATTATATTCTATATATTTAATCTATGTAGAGTATGTAGAGTTTATATTGGTCTTTGGTCAAAGTGAATACACATATGTATGTATATCTAAAATTTTCTATTCCACACTGAAATAAATCACCCAAACTCTTTTGAATTATTATTATAATTTTTTCTAAAATGTGAAAAAAGTTATCCATATCTACTTTAAATTTATTATTATTTTGCTTTGACAAAAATTATTATAATTTAAAAGAGTCGGGGTGGGTTTTTTCCAGTGAGACATACATAATTTTAAGTAAATATATAGTTAAAATTGTCTATGCCACACTGAAAAAACCGACCCACCCTCTTTTGAATAATTTTTGTTAAAGCAAAATAATATTAAATTAAAAACGAAAAATATTCAAAAGAATGTGGGTCTTTTTTTCAGTGTGGCATAGACCATTTCAACTGTATATTTCCTTAAAATGGTCTAGGCCACACTGAAAAAAAGACCCAAACTCTTTTGAATATTTTTTGTTTTTAATTTAATATTATTTTGCTGTAAGTTTTAAAAAGAAATCAAAATCAGCCGCCGCTCAATTATTGTAGTACACAGAGTCAGAGAGAGAGACAGTGCGAGAGAATGCATTTGGTGTTCAATGCTTGTGTATAATTTGTTGGAATTATTATTCCTACTTTAGGCTAATGTAACTTTTTTATACCCTTGCAGAGGGTATTATAATTTTGGTCAAAAGTGTGCAACGCAGTGAAGGAGACATCTCCGACCCTATAAAGTATATATATTCTTGATCAGGATCACCTCCTGAGTTGATATAGCCATGTCCGTCTGTCCGTCTGTCCGTCTGTCTGTTTCTACGCAAACTAGTCTCTCAGTTTTAAAGCTATCGGATTGAAACTTTGCACACACCCTTCTTTCCTTTGCACGCAGTATATAAGTCGGAACGGCCGGGATCGGCCGACTATATCCTATAGCTGCCATATAACTGATTGATCGGAAATGCCATAACTTTCGTGTTTGTAAAGTTAGGAAGTTGGGATTGTCTATGGGTTTAATATTTGGCCAATCAATCCGACCTACCAAATTTCATAAGGATCGGCCGACTATATCCTATAGCTGCCATATAACTGATTGATCGGAAATGCCATAACTTTGGTGTTTGTAAAGTTAGAAAGTTGGGATTTTCTATGGGTTTTATATTTGGCCAATCAATCCGACCTACCAAATTTCATAAGGATCGGCCGACTATATCCTATAGCTGCCATATAACTGATTGATCGGAAATGCCATAACTTTGGTGTTTGTAAAGTTAGAAAGTTGGGATTTTCTATGGGTTTTATATTTGGCCAATCAATCCGACCCACCAAATTTCATAAGGATCGGCCGACTATATCCTATAGCTGCCATATAACTGATTGATCGGAAATGCCATAACTTTGGTGTTTGTAAAGTTAGGAAGTTGGGATTTTTTATGGATTTTATTTTTGGCCAATCAATCCGACCTATCAAATTTCATAAGGATCGGCCGACTATATCCTATAGCTGCCATATAACTGAACGATTGGAAACGAACGATTGTTGTTGTTAAAGTTAGGAAGTTCGGATTTTTTATGAGTATTAAGAATGCATCATATGAATAATTTTGGAGAATATAATTTACAGAGTATTCTGCAAGGGTATATCAACTTCGGCTCCGCCCGAAGTTAGCTTTCCTTTCTTGTTTAGAATTGACCTAGAGCTTCAGTAAAACTACCATATGAATCCTTAAAGTATCAGGATTCCCTCGATAAATTTATTATAAATAAATTTCATATTGCTAATTGACTTAGATTAGTGTTTTTTTGCCGTTAGGAAAAAATGAGGAAAATTCTTAGATTTTCATAAAATCGATCAAAAATACTAAACATTAAAATATCCAATATTAAATTAAATAGAATCTTTATTATGTAGAGGACTAAATTTTGGCCAAAAATTGCATCGATTGATTAACGCGTTTAGAGTCCAGATTTTTTTTATAGAAATTGGGGGTTTTTTGCCACTGGAAGAAAATGGGGGCATGTTTGTGGCCAAAATAAATCTTAGCAAATCAGTTTAGTGTTATAAGAATAACAATGGTAAAAAATTTTAATAGGGTCATTTAATTAGTTTAGGCTGTGCGTTGATTCTTAGTTTTCAATAAACAGTTTTATATACGAGGGCTGCTATATATACAGTGGCTCACAGCTTAAAGTATGCACTTCAAACCCCTAACTTCAAACTTCCATAGTGTTAAAACTATTAGGCGTACTGCAACAAATGTGGTGTCAAATTAAAGATGATTTTGTGACTTCATTTATTGTCTACTTTTTCATTTTATAACCAAAACATAACAAAATAATAAAATACTGCTTATTTCTACCTCACAGCTTATTTTATGCAGCACCAAAAATATAAAAATATTTGGAAAGTATTTATTTTTTTTTGTTTTTTTAGTATTTAGTGTGGTAGCCTTAAGTGTTTATTACCGCCTGAAGCCTTTTTGGCATCGAATCCACTAATTTTTTCGTCAGATCGGCTGATATAATGCTCCTCTCTTTGAAAAGAGCATCCTTCAGCTGGTTTTTGTTCGAAATGGAGTATTTTCGAATATTATTCTTAAAAATTGCTCACGAATTTTCGATCACGTTTAGATCTAGAGATTGAGACGGCGGAATCATCACATTGGGACAGTTGTAGCTCAGCCAAGACTGCACAATACCCGCCTTGTGCTTTGGATCATTGTAATGATAAAAACGGAAATGTGACCTTATTCCCAGATCCTCCGCACTTTGCAACAAATTGTCCTTGAGAATATTGAGATATTTCATTTTGTCCATTGTAGACTCAAAAAAGTCCAGTTTTCCCGGACCAGCAGCGGACATTCAGGCCCAAAAGCCATTTATATGCCGTGAGGTAGAAATAAGCAGTATTTTATTATTTTGTTATGTTTTGGTTATAAAACGAAGAAGTAGACAATAAATGAAGTCACTAATTTAATCTAAACAATATCATCTTTAATTTGACACCACATTTGTTGCAGTACGCCTAATAGTTTTAACACTATGGAAGTTTGAAGTTAGGGGTTTGAAGTGCATACTTTAAGCTGTGAGCCACTGTATTTCTGGCCTAGGCCATACTAAGTGTTGCCTGGCTCCATCTGTCGTTTTCATTGGGAAGTTTGACATGTTTTAGCAGAAACGTGCTCAGAACGTTTTGACGTACGGCCATAATTTGTGTTGTTTACAGTGACTTGAAAAAATCAATTTGGCAGAAAATGGAATTAACTCGTGAACATTTTCGCGCAATCATTTTTCACGGCTTTCGACGTGAATTAACACGACAAGAGTGCATCGATGAACTTACATCTTTGTATGGCGATGGAGCACCATCTTATAGCACTGTGAAAAACTGGTATAATGAATTCAATCGTGGCCGACGCTCGCTCGAAGACGAAGGTCGTGAAGGTCGTCCAAAAACAGTCGTTGTTCCAGAGAACATTGACGCCGTGCATGAACTGGTAATGCAAGATCGTCATGTGACATACCGTGAGATAGAGGCATCTTTGAGCATTTCTTCCACCAGCATACATATGTACATTCGATATTGCATGATCACTTGGTCGTAAAAAAAATTTGTTCTTGTTAGATCCCGCACAATTTGACAATAGCTCAAAAAAAGGCTCGTGTGGATTGGTTCAAAAAAAATTCGAAAAAATACAATCGCGGTGTTTCACAAGACGTTTATAAGATCGTCACAGGTGACGAATCATGGATCTATGCTTATGAGCCCGAAACAAAACAGCAATCGACCGTGTGGGTCTTCGAAGACGAGCCAAATCCAACGAAAGTTGTTCGTGGAAGAAGCACTTCGAAGCAAATGGTGGCCTGTTTCTTCGGTAAAACAGGTCAGGTGGCGACTGTTCCGCTTGAGCAACGTAGGGCGGTCAATTCTGAGTGGTAAACCACAATTTGTTTGCCTGAAATCTTCGGAGAAATTCGAAAAACGAACAAGAGAAGACTGATCATTCTGCACCATGACAATGCGAGCTATAACACATCAGCTTAAACCAGCGCCTTTTTGACCGGCCAAAATGTCGAATTGATGGGTCATCCGCCATACAGCCCTGACTTGGCACCCAATGACTTCTTTTTATTCCCGCACATCAAGAGAAAAATGCGTGGTCAATGATTTTCGACGCCATAGAGTAAGAAACTATATAGAGGTTTCATTTGCTCTGCCCGGGCCTCTGCCAAAGCTCTGCTGAGAGCCATGTTCGAAGCTAACTTCTTCTAACTTCGATTTCTCACCACTTCTAACATGTGCGAAGCACAAGCAATAGAATGGGGAGTTCTCGCACCTATCCTTAGGAATAAGAGCGAGCAGTGCAGCAATAAGAATTCACCATGGGCATCGATTCAAGCTCGATTCGAACAATTGAAAAACTCTCTTTTTTTCCGTTTTTCCCCTACGTGGCATCACTGGCAAAGTCACTCGAGAGCGCGGGTAGAGCAAATGAAACCTCTATATAGTTTCTTACTCTATGGTTTTGGAGGTGTCTCAATCGGAGTGGACAAAGTGCTTCGACAATTGTTTTGAACGCATGAACCTAGAAAAAATCAATAGCTTTTAAAAGTTAAAAACAACCTTTTAGTGCAGCGAAATGTATATCTGAGTATGCCAATCGATTTTTAGGTCCTTTCAACATTCACGTATGTTTTAATAATCGTTTCCCCAAGCAAAGAGCTTATGTTAGAACCCTTTTCAAGCCGATGGATTTTTTCTAGGAGCAATTCGTTTGTAGAAACCTTCATGCAGGGCCTGAAAAAAGGCTGTTGGGTGAATATCCTTACCAAAGTCCTTCTTATCATCAACTTTGATACGTGTTGAGGAGATCTGGGGGTTGACATTGTCCTTTTATACGATCCTTACGCTTTCCTGGCCTCTCAAAGCCATGGATTAGCCAGTGTGCCCTGCATTTTGCAACTGCGTGGGTCCTTTAAAATGTAGCAAAGGACTCCGAATGGGAAAAATGGCTTCTGGGCATTATTTCCCCAATGTTAACTTTCGATTTGCATTGATCCTGCTTATTAAATTTTAATTTTTGGATACATGCGGTTGATTTTATTTTTACCTTGTAAAGTCAAACAACTTTTCCTTTATTTTAAGGCACTAAAACAATTTTAGCTATAAAATTAATCATTATACCATTAAGATTATAGAGGCAAATGTGATAATTAAAAAAAAAAAGTGGCCAAATCGATAAAGTTTTAACAAAATAGTTAATTAAAACCCAAGTGTGCCAATAATTTTGTTCAGGCAAATTTGGTCCATTCTTTGGTTTTTTATTTCTAATAAATTATTTATAACAGATAAATTAATGAAGTCACTTGTATTTAACATAAAATTAATGATTCTATCTAAAAATATTTTGTTTTATTTTAATATCAGCATATTATAAGAAGAAAAATAGCCTAAAAGTTTAACATGCTTGCTGTGCCAATAATTAAGTTTGTCACTGTACATACTTATATTGGCTAAACACATACATTCTTAAATAGTATTATGTATATTAAAGTCTAAATGTTTGCACAACACGAGTAACGGGTATAGCGAATAGCTTTCTTTGAAAGGAGTTATCTTTGCCGGGCAATTGCAACTGTTTACAATGTATATACATACATATGTATATGCTTACATACATACACACATACGCCATAGTTTGACTCAGACCTCCAATTTGGCTAACTAGATTTGATTTGCATAGTTCTTGGTATTGACAAATGAAAACCATCGCAATTTCCTTTAATAGAAATCCTTATCGAGAATTAACGTTGACTCTGTTAAGCACCTTGGTCAGCTGCTCCAAAGTCATCCGTTAGATGGCGCCATGAAAGGCGGAAATGTAGGCGCTAGCCAGGCTTAAGCGTTTAATAAGTTTTTGGGCGTTAGAGTGGGCGTGGCAAACTTTTATTAGGCAAATCGATAGGTATTGACGAAATAAATACATATCAATTCAAATTTTCATAATAGCATCAAAACTGTGGCCACAGCTTGTGGCTTGTGGGCGTCAGAGGGGGCGTGGCAAACTTTTATTAGGCAAATCGATAGGTATTGACGAAACAAATACATATCAATTAAAATTTTTATAATAGCATCAAAACTGTGGCCACAGCTTGTGGCTTGTGGGCGTCAGAGGCACCATTTTGAAACAAACTTGCGGTGCGTAGGAACTCCTAAGATCTACATGCAAAATGCCAATCTTCTAGCTTTTATAGTTTCCGAGATCTCAGCGTTCATACGGACGGACAGACAGACGGACAGACGGACATGGCTAGATCGACTCGGCTAGTGATCCTGAACAAGAATATATATACTTTATAGGGTCGGAAACGCTTCCTTCTACCTGTTACATACTTTTGCACGAATACAATATACCCTTTTACTCTACGAGTAACGGGTATAAAAAGCTCAAATTTTGCGTTACTTTAGACTGAGCGCGAAGAAGCGGAAATAGTCCGAAAAGTGAAGAAAAATCCTCGACTTAGTGCGCCAGAATTAAAGGCCGAACTCTTCGCCGACCATGGGAAGACCGTTTCAGCCCAAACCGTTCGTCGTACCATAAAAAGCCATGGGTACAACGGCAAGGTCGCTCGAAAAAAGCCTTTGCTGGCTGAGCGCAACCGGAAGTTAAGGAAAAATTTTGCCCTGGAGTACTCCAAAAAGGACCAAAGCTGGTGGGACGATGTCATTTTCTTAGACTAGAGCAAATTTAACCTTTTCGGCATGGTTTGGCGGCAACCAAATACGGAGCTGCAGAAAAAACACCTAAGACCAACTGTAAAACACGGCGGCGGAAGTGTGATGGTTTGGGGCTGCATTTCCGCAAAAAGAGTGGGAAATCTGGTTTTTATTGAAGGAATTATGAACCAGGACCAATATTTAAGAATTTTGAAGGAGAATTTGAAGCAGTCGGCGGTAAAAATGGGCTTTGGCGAGACTTTTAAGTTGTACCAAGACAATGACCCGAAACATAAGGTTAGGTCCTGGCTTCTTTATAATTGTCCAAAAGTTTTGGAAACGCCTCCTCAATCGCCTGATCTCAATCCGATTGAGAATTTGTGGAGTGAGTTGGATCGCCGTGTTCACAAAATGCCAATTTCTTCCATATCGGCCTTGAAGGAACGCCTTCAGGAAGAGTGGGCTAAAATTGGCCCCGAATACACCAAAAAAATTATACAAAATATGCCAAAACGTTTGGCCGATACCATAAAAAATAATGGCTACCAAGTATTAAATTAAGTTTATTTTCATGATAAAAATGTTTTTTGTAGTTATATAAGAAAAAACCGAATTCTTAAGTAACGCAAAATGTTGAGTTTTTTGTTTATCTGTGTTTTTTAGTTTTAATTTAAAATAAAACCTTAATATATGCACCTTTCCGAATAGGTAATAAAAAAAGCCTTATTTTCCCATTTTTAAGTTTGTTGCTATTGTTAGTTTTAAACATTTTGTTTACGCCGCTCTCCCCTCGTTTAAACTGCCCGCGCTTCCCTCGTAGCGAATGCCCACTCGCCCGCACTGGCCAGGCTCTGCCGCTCTCCCGCTCTCCCGCACTGGACGCTTGCGATTCCAGGCTCTCCCGCCTTCCCGCTCCCGGAATCTCTCCACTGCGCTTTGAAACGCAGCGTTCAATTAGGTTTAAGTTAGTCTTTCATTGTACCACTAGTGAAATACATCGCCCGGCCGGTCCGCGCTATAACCCGAAAAGTTCACCGAGTTTTTTTTGTTTCATTACTTTGCGCACCGCGATCGAGTGTCTCTTCACCACGTATTTTCCAGCTTGCGACCCGGCTACGTGCGACAGCCGCAACCACCGACGAAGCTGCCCCCAAGCGACGACATCCCCGACGCCCCAACTCTTCATTTTTTGGTCCTTCGAGCCGGATAAGTGCCAATTAATTAATTTTTGTATTAACTGCCGATCGACAGTCAGCCATTCGAAGAACATAATTCGTTTGACTTTCTGTACGATTTGTCTAAAATCCAAGTCCGATTTAATCCGACGACGGCAGTTAGTAAATTACAATTCCAATTCCGTCTTTTATTTCTTCGTTCTCTTTTAACGTGCGGCCATATTGCCTATTTTCTAATTCCTTTTCGTGTGCATATTGATGTACAAGTTTCATATTCGCATTTGGCCGTACATCCACTAAATATACATCCAACATCAAATCGAAGAAAAATAAAAAGTAGAAATCCAAATTAAAGTGTGCAAATAAAAAGTCAAGCGTACAGTGAAAAAAATTAATTTCAAAAAATTCAGTGAACAGTGAAAAAAATAAATCAATTTAAAAATTGAGTTCAAATTAATTTTCCACAAAAAAGTGAAACAAAAATTAAGTGTTCCGCCAATTTCGGCCCACAAATATTTTTTTGATATTAATTTTTTATTGTACATCCGCTGTGACAATATTTGCTTACATTATTACAAATCCAAATACAGTCCACAATAAATCGAAAATTTACAACACATACCCGCCGGCAAAATTTACAATAAAATTTTCCGCCATATTGATTACATATATTACATCCATATTACATATATTACATCCATATTACATATATTACATCCATATTACATCCATATTACATATATTACATATTCCATATATATATACATACATTTATACATATTTTTTCTACACAACTACACCCCAATTCCGAAAGCTCAAGTATTTCCGTCGGCCATCCAATAAATATATATAAAACGAATTCCTAAAGCTGACGTGAAATAACTTTTTGTGTCTCAGTGTGTTTTACTTATTTACATATTTTGGGCACTATCCATCCATACATCTACACATACACGCGAATTGCAGTACCGCAAAAAGCTCGATAATCCCGCGCATTCCAGCGTCACCAATACACAGCCCGCAAAAGTTCGGGCAGTTGTTTTTCAATCATCCAATTAATAAATTAATTAATAAATTCCAACAAAATTAATAAACACCAAGTTCAACTCCAATAAAATTAAACAAATACTGAGAATTACTGCCAAAAAAAAAAAAAAAAAAGGGGAAAAAATATAAAATACTGTCGCCATCGCGGAACTAGTGGAATCAATTTATTAATTTATTGATTTATTAATTTGTTTCTTCGGTTTCACATTTTTTTTTTCAAAAAAAAAAAACGCCCTTTCCAGTATTTTGTCTTCTTATTTATTGAGCTTGGTAAATCTGCAGATACATCGATACTCAATTTTTTCTTTTGGGGATAAAAAAGAAAAATTCGAAAAAAATACCACCCGCATACCACTGAAAGGTATTATTTTTGTTTTTTTGTCTCCGAATATTTTTTAAAATAAAGAAAAACAAAACCAATAAACTCCAAACACTGCCGGGGACATCCAATCCCATCCTAATTCGGCCAACCACCCACTATAAAATACTAAACGACAAATACCTCATCCAATCCAGTATTTTTTCAGTATTTTTATTTTGTGGTATTTTTTTGGTATTTTTTTTCCATTCTTGCTCCATCGTTCCACCAAAAGCCTGACGAATATTTCAACAATAATTCAGCCACGCATATCGACTATTTTTTGAGCTAGTCGATATCCTATTTCCACCGGTCCATAAGTGGGTCCGTAATTGTTTCTCTGATTTTTGTCCGAAACATCAGCGCGCACATTCCATCCTAACAGCATCCTAGTTTGGTATGTCCGGGGAAAGTTCCAACAAACTATCCCCTGTTCCATCACCGAAAATACCAAAAATCACGGTAAGGACGCCCACACCTAAAAAGGTCAAGACGTCACCTCCCAAAAAGGCTCCTTCTTCCATCGAAAGAACCACGCGAGCCAGCACAAAAATGGTTGCAACGGCTGCCGACCTCGCTATGAGCCAATTTATTGAAGTCTCGGATCGACTGTCCGAATTGGAATCGCGGATAAATATTCCCTCGGCGGTCCCTCCTACGTTATCCGTCCTCAATATTCGCCGAGACGAAATCCGAGAGGTATGGATCCGCATCAAAAAAGAATACGATGCCTGTACCGCATGCCTTGTAGCAGCCGGAGAAGGTGCAGCTGACAGCTTGCCAGTCCTCAAGGCTAAGTACGGGTATTGCTACAGCGCGTACGAAAGGTGCGGTGCCCAGATAGCAGACATGATAGCGCAAACTCCGCAACTTCCGCAACCTTCCCCAACGCCAGCTGATCCTTCTCAGACATACATTCCGTCAGGCTGCCGGCTTCCGCCGTGCGATACCGAAGTTTTTACCGGCGACTATCTTCGTTGGCCAACCTTTAGGGATCTATTCACGGCAATTTATATCAACAATCCCAGACTCACTCCTGTCGAAAAATTATTATTATTATAACCTCACTGAGCGTTTCGAAAACAAGCGATTGTTAGTAAACAGTCAATTAAAGATACTTTTCAATGTACCGTCCGTCACACAGGAGTCTGGGTCAGCCTTGAAAGAACTTCAAAGTACCATCCAGGGTTGCCTTACTGCACTAGAAATGTCCGGTATTCAGGTCGAAACTTGGGATTGCCTCTTGGTATATATGTGCTCGTCCAAACTCCCAAAGCTTACGCTTTCCCTATGGGAGCAGTCCCTCCATAACAAAGCCGAGATCCCTACGTGGCACGAGCTGAACGTTTTCCTAACGGAGCGTCACAGGACACTAGAAGCCATAGATGATGTACGACCATCAGGTTCTAGTCAGACTCAGCCCAGGGCATCCACTTCCAACTCGGCGTCTCGAAGAATAAATTCATACGAGACAAGGGTAGCACCTAGGCAACTTAGAGGGTGCGATCTCTGTAATAGAGAGAACCATCCTGTACGCACATGCGCCAAATTTCTCCAGATGACGGTCGACCAACGCATCGCATATATAAAAAGAAAACAGCTGTGTTTAAACTGCTTTGCGCGGACACATCAGTTGCGCGACTGCGAAAGCGCACATAACTGCTTCACGTGCCGCGGCCGCCATCACACGCTCCTACACCGAGGCAGCCCATCCCCAGCGCGCGCAAATCCAACGCCAACGCCCAGATCCAGACCAAATACTCTCGGTCCCTCGGCTGCCAGTGGCACGCAGTCAACGCTTCAGAATTATTTTGCGGCAGGCACTCGGTCAGTCCTCCTAGGCACCGCTATAATTAATATATGCCATCGAGGTTCCAATTTCCAAGCGCGAGCCTTAATAGACTCCGGATCTGAGGCGACCTTCATCACTGAGCGCCTTTTCAACCTGATTAAACTGCCGTTCCAGGTTATCCGAGCACAGGTCTCAGGACTTAATCAAACGGTCTCCGCTGAGACCAAAAAGATCTGTCAATTCACGATCCGTTCTCCAACCCGGCCTAGCTTGCAGTTAAACACCACTGCCTACGTGCTTCCACAAATAGCCGGAAATCTTCCTTCATGTCCGCTTCCGCAACATTTCCTGCGAGACCTTCCCGAACTTCCGCTAGCGGATCCAAAGTTCTATGAGAGCGCACAAATAGATATTCTAATCGGGGCCGATATACTTCCATCCATTCTACTAAGCGGTACCCGAGCGAACATCTGTGGCTCGCTTCTCGGTCAAGAGACTATTTTCGGCTGGATTCTAACAGGACCAGTACCAGCTCCGAGGCATGATCAAATATCATCCTTTTCCACGCAAGTTGCACACACGTATGAAGCGTCTCTCGATAAACTCCTCACCAAATTCTGGGAGGTGGAGGATCTGCCAGTAAAAGTGGCAA